ATTGGCATACGCGCATTCTGTGCGAATTACCTCGATATTATCTTAAATCACAAGCATTTTAAAAAGAAATGGATAGTGATTAGCAATGGAATCCAGTTTGTGACGAATGTTTCGTCCTATTTGTGATTCATCACTTTGATTGATGCATTAAAAACACGTAGTCATTTTGACACTATTGTTTCGCATGTCTCTACAATCCTTCTATACTACTTATATAGAATTATGTATTGCAAACATATTTTACAAAATTATTCCAATCAATCATATTGAATTATGTTTAACAAGATTTTTACGCATACCGTCGTCGTACGATACAATTGATAATAGATGTTACAAAAAAGTATATTATTTAATCTAATCGGTCACTTGAAAAGGTCAATACTAATAACAGTTTACATTAAATAAAACAATCATATTTATATCTTACAGTTTATTAAAACTAAGCTGAAAATGGCGTAATGAATAAGTTATTGCTGACTGTTTATAAAACAGTTAAATTGTGATGTCAACCGATTATAAGGGAGGCACCTTTCAAAATCATAAAACTAGCTTTGCATAAAGCAAATAACATTAGATAGTTGATTCTGATTCATTATACTATGATTGAAGTTGTAGATGTTTACATTTCAACCCATTAGATTGTGTGATTGGTGTTGAAGTCATTTGGATCACTTTTCAGTCAGTGGTTTAAGTCAACATATATATGTGTATAGGGTAGAGTAACTTCTCCTTCAGTTTTCTTTTCGTAGATATATTTTTTCAATTTTTATGGAATAAGTCTGTTTTTCGACTCTCGGAGCGAATATCAACTCTGAGATGCAAGTACATCCAGTTGACTCGTTCCAAATGGGACGAAACGCGCATCCTAGATTCTATTGCTTAAAAGTTTGTTTTTGTTTGCAAAACAAAACAAAAATATGACATTATAACGAGATATTACTGAAAATTGTAATATTCATTCATTGAAATGTCGATATTTGTCCTCTTGCTTATATACCACTAACAATGTAATAAATCCGTCAATTTCTTTTTGTTATGTCTTGCTGATTGGAGGCTATATTCGTTCCTAAGCTATCCTGATAACCCGCACGCTAGAACTATACAGCGACCTGAACACCAGAGAGAAGACGCAAAGTATGAGAGAAACACTTTGCTCCAAGGTCCGTTTTTGCACGGAAAACATTAGCATTTATAGATGTTAACGTTTGTTAAATCAACATCATATTTCGGCCAATCCGTTAACGACATATTATGCTATTGACCACGTTGGAATTCTAGAATGCTCCATCATGCTCTGATTGACTAGGACTCTTCGGCTCCTTTTGGGACTCTAGAGGCTCCGTTGATGTTCTCCGAAAGTCGACTCAATACTTTTACTCACTTCTTTTTCAAATCTCTCCATGATAATAAACAATATAGGACTGGATAACTATAGTAATAGTTTTAAGTATTTCTTACCATTTTCATTCATTACTCTTCATATAAAACTAACTATATAAGTGAAGTATGAAATGTTATTATAACTGTATTATAATTGATAATTATCGATGTCATTTTAAGACTGAAACATTTCTTGGTGCTATCAAAGTTGAATAACTAACATAACTTTGCATTTGAATGACTCGGTACTTTTTTCAATAAGGAATGAATAGATATAAACGATAATGAATGAGTCCAACTATAACTCTTTCCGATTGAAGTAATGCATAATAATACGACCGTACATACGGGTGGCTTTGTTGACCAAATCTGTATTATTTTCTTAGTACTATAATCTTATATTTTACTTCTTTATGTAGTACTAGTAGACTTGTTTACACAAGATGTATATCCTATACAACTTAAGTTTGTGTGTGTGCGTGCGTACATCAGCTGATCCATGATTGGTGGTAGTCTAGTGTACTTCATAAATAGTTGTATATTGTAATATAGTATATACCTATACATAATATCAAGCAATCTTAGATCCACGTGATATTGATATACATTTAAGTAGGAAGGCCAATCTATAATTTATGGTAACTATATTACCTCGAATAAATTCACTGTTTCAAATTGGGAAAGTTGTGGTGGGGTGCTGGCTATATAGTCTTCTTTTCTTTTTCGAGTTTTTATCTATAATTCAACACTTCTATTTGAAGTTTGTGCTGATGATGTCGTTCAGAAGAATGATGAAAGCTCCACAACCAAACCATCCAGCTCAGAGAACAAAACTCAACCAAAAATCATCCACTTGAGCTACAAATCTTCTCCACCATCTCATAATTCAACACTATCATTTCTCTTTTCTTTTCTCGCGTTTTTTTGCATTTTGCTAAAATTTCTTTGTTATGACCTTGAATCGCTTTTACCCCGTTGATACTTGTTATGACTCGACTTTGATCTGTCTAGTCTAAATTAGGACCTTGACGCGATAGGCTGAGCGGCTTAACCTTGAGTCTATCACGCGTGAGTTCGAGATGGGGTAGGGAAAACTATCCTAGAACCTGATTGGTTGGCAAGCACGCATGCAAGAGAAGACAAGATAGCTGGAACACTGAACTCTGGATTCTCTGAATTCGGATTAGTACAAAAATGTACATGAATAAATAAGTGAATATCTTGACTACGACGTACAATAATTTGGAAAAATACAGTTATGCCGGAAACTGGGAATTAGGGTAGAAAATACGGTGCAAAATATTATGTTTAAATTACAATATTTTTGGAACAAAAAAGGGTATGGTAGTGAATGATACATAGAATGAAAGCTCATGTTATGTAGAATAAGATAGGGACAAAAATAAATAAAAGTGTTTTACAGGGTTTGAATGAAATGCAATAACGTCCCACGATAATGGCTTTCGTAGTTGTCTGTGGCTTCTTTATTCTCCGTTCACAACATTCTTCATCAATATAAATTGTTTAATTATAATCACTGATTGAATGGATTATTATGCTTTGTAAACACCTATTTAATATCATATATAAACACTTAACTATTCAAATTTCTAGTTGCTATTTCGTTTTTGTTTTTGTTTTTTTTTTCTTCTTTCAACTATGCAAACTGTTACCATAACACTTGTAGATTAATCATTAACTGACTCACCGCATATTTTGTTTGTCACATTGAAATATTTGCATAATTTATTATTCTTTGTTTTTTCATGAAAAAACAAAAGAAGCAGACTTTCAATATTGGCAAACTTACTATAAAATTTATTCGGAAACATTATCATGATAGTTGTCAATAGACATATCAATGTTATATAGATCATCATACAATGTGAAAATAATGGTCATAGGAATAAAAATCGATTGAAATTGTATATGAATGACAGTTTAATAGTGATTAACTATTTGAATTAAACAAAAGATATGGATGGTGGTTAGCAGTGGAATCTGATTTGACGCGCATTTCATCCTATTTGGGATAAGTCAGGTAGATGTACCTACATCTCCGGGACTCGAACCCAGTACTATTTGCTTCAAATGTCATTACGTTGTCCACTTAGCAACTGAGTTAAATGATATATGAATAGATGGGGATTTGTCCACAGTATTCTCTCTATTTGTGTATTATATTCACATATATATGATATTAAATATAGGGAATGTTCTCTTAAACCACTGTAAGCTGAGACTTGGACTGTAAATACAAAGTCAGGTAACGTTAATGGACTTGGCAACATTCACAATTGTTTAATCACTGAGTTGTAGTGACTAGTGTTATATGTTATATCAAGTTATTCTTAGTGCTGATCAAATTCTATCCATGAAGCTGCAATGCATTCACTAATCTAAATGACTTGATATCTCATGCTTTGTGTTCAGATGTAAATTGATGGGTTAAAGGATGTTAACGGAACATTTTGTTTCCATTTTCAACTCTTTTATCATTCAACAATATAGATATTTCCTCATATTATAATTTATCTTTACATTCTATTAACTTGTTTCGTAGAATAATTCTTGATTTTGTCTAATAAATGGTTACAAGTTTACTTTATAATGCAATTCTGAAATTTTACCATCTTTCTAAATTTAGTAACCTGTAATATATATTGGTTAAGCTTATCCCATCAAGTTTAAAGTTTAGTCATTGAGTTAACAGATATGCACAACATCTTTTAATACTGTAAGTGTTGGTAATCGGTCCCAAAAAAATTGCATCTAATTTGTTTCAATGTATCTGAAATTCATCAGTAAAGCATATATCTGTGAAGTTGAGAAAAACCTTCCGTTATTTTCCGAATAAATATTGACTTATTTAATGATAACATCCTTATTTCTTTGACTATAGTATACCGATCATCATAGATTCCAACTTCTATATTGGGACTCGGGGGGGGGGTCGATTTCCACATACTGCTGAGTACATATATTTTTCCAATATGTTCTGCCAACATGTTGTTGTTGTCGTTATCAGCTATTAGTATTTCAGCATACAGAATCGAGCTCGTGTAGATTTTTCGCTTTTCATTTTCTGTAACCATAAGTTTTGTATCTGTTCAGAAACAGACAATTTTGTCATTTTTTTTTACTTATCTCCTTTCAACCGTTCACTTGTTGAGAATTACCGTGATCGACTCTGTTCCCTAGTGTATGAATAGGTTAGAAGAAAGCTAAGAGCGGCCAAATCAATAACATTATATCAGTCCATGTAGTTATCATTGACTATTAGTCTTAGTCATGTTTGTAGATGCAGATTATACTTAGTTGGAGTTCATAAGATCATCATGATCAGAATCGATCACAATGACTCTAATACATTTATTGTTTATCTAGATTTTACATTTCAATATTTCAACTCATATTCTTAATGTTTATTCTTCGTTATTCATTGTTTACTACTGGATTGTTATTCATCTTAATCATTTCATCTCTTTATATGACAACAACTTGAATCGACTCATATATCTACCCTATAACCTTTATTAATTTCTGTCAGTAATTATTAAATTTTTTATAATGTCGTTCAATGGTTCATTTTGTTTGTTTTATTTTATTATTTTCATTAGTATCTTACGGCGGATCTTGGCGGTCGTTCAACTTGTTCTCAATATACTAAAGAAATATGTCGTAAAATTGAAGAGAAAGCGTCAAATCGATAAGAATGATGTAAAATTGTTTAGTTTCTTTCTTCATTGTCATTCTGTTTATTTATTATTTAATTTAATGAAAACATAGAAACAAAAATAAAACGAAGGGCGGGGGAGGCAAAAGAAGAAATAAAACAATATTTGGTTATTGCAATTTTTGTATAGTTTTAATTCATGTTATCTATTTGATAATGATAAACATTAGTTTTATCCTTTTGTCTTGTACGCAGTGACAAAAAAAGGTAAACCATTTTTATTAGTGTAGATTCATATATGTGAATCAGTTCATACCTACACATCCACACACACACACATGCATACTGTGTATCTTCTTCTTCTCCTTTTCTTTTTCGTCCATGTTTTGCTTAGAACACTTAATTACCTATATGTGAATTTGCATGAAATGTTTAAGTTTTATAGAATTGCAAAATTTAAATATGAATTACATGCATATTATCTTTATTGGTTGAAAAAGTTTGGGATAAAGGGGAAAAAAAAGGAAACCTTTCAATGTTAACACAATTATGAATGTATGTTTATATTATGATAGTATTAACAGCAAAGCCTACTCATGAATAATCCCTGATTATTGTAGACTATTTCAAACATATTTATATTAATTTCAATAGTTGAGATCATGAATCAATTGAAGCTAGTTCAACATGGAAAATCTGGAATATTGACTCATGATTTCAACTATTGAAATATCCACAAAAACACATTGTAATACTAATCAACATATGCTCGCTAGTGACTGGAGTTCTGTTGTGAAGCAGTGACCAGTGAATTTCAACCTGGTCTGTTGTGATATAGTAATTCACCGAAGATAATAGTGGATATGTCGCTCAATTTCGTGAATGAGTTGAAGTTAGACATTAACACCATTGGATGCCGGCTCAGTGATCTAAGCGTTCGCGCGTGAGACCGATAAGTCCTGGGTTGGAATCTCACGGGACGGGATCGTGGTTGCGCACTTATGAGTAGTCCCACAATAGGACGAAACAGCCGTCCACTGCTTCCAGGTTTTCCATTGTTGTCTAGCTTCAATTGACTATTGAAATATATATATTTATTGTTGAGTATGGGATTCAAGGTTTAATTTACTTCATGGTTACAGACTTAACAATTCTCAATAGTTTATTCAATAAATGTTAATCACTTCTGAATTTTCATAATTTGTTGTTCATGCTTGATTAGGTATAGTCTAAATAATAATTGAAGGATCTTGATGAACTCATGTATTTGTCAAAATATGGCTTAAATTTCCGAGAAAATGGACACATCTAATGGGTTATAGATCTTTGATTTTCTGAAGAAGATTGACATAGGCAAATATGGATAGTGGTTTGTAATGAGATTCAGGACTCGCCTTTCCCATTCGAGACTCTTCAGCTGGATATACCTGTATCTCAGAGTTTATGTCCACTCTGGGACTCGGACCCAATACCGTTTGCTTCAATCACCACCGGGTTATCCACTTAGCTCCCGAGTCCTGATGGTTACTTGCTTGTGCAATGGGGTGAAGTTATATTTAATAGTCAATTGCAGTGCTAAATAACAAAAAGGAGATACAAGTAAACATAGAATACAGGTTTATGAATGAGTTTATGCATATGTTTTTTATTCGGTTAGTTAATAAGTTATTTCTACTCCTGATTCTCTCACTCGTGTAGCTGTCTTGACTCGTGCATATTTCAGTAGCAGACTCGAACACCCTAAGAAAGTAACTTAAACTAGTTTATTAAATAAAGCCAGAACAAATATCGATGCAGAATAATATGAATACATTATATTTCATGGTTTCTTGTCGGCTGCTTACAGCTAAATATGTATTAGAATTTTACATTGAGATAAAATATAGTGTGAAATCAATTGAAATGTGAATGTAAAGGATTAGAATGACAAAGTTTATCAATATATATATGTGCTAGAACAGGTCAGAGGTTATTGATGTTAGAATCAACGAAACATTAAGGATGAATGGTGTATTAGTTGAGTGGAATTCAGAGACAGATAAGTTAAATTGTGAATGAAAGGGAGGTTTAAGAGTTCGGTAATGGGGGAGGAACTAGTAACCAAAAACAAAAAGTCAGTCAGAACAACGTAGAACTTCGTTCGTACGTACATCAGTCCAAGTTACCATACCATATTAGCACAGAGATGCAGGTGTCGATTAAAATCCCGTAGTGGTAGAGGTAGGAAAAGCATAAGCAGTAATCGAAAACATGAGGGTTTGAAGATGTTATTCAAGGGGTGTAATCCAGTGCAATAAATTTGGAAAGAGACAAAAAGAAAGGAGTATGAAGAATTCAGGAGATAAGAATGTGAAAGAACACAGAGGGTGGATGCATCGACGCCTTTGCAAACGATATTGATCCATGTCATTCAAGGTCTTTAACTATCGGTTGCTATCATTTTGTGGATCCCAACCAGGTAGTCTACACCTACCAACATAGTCCAGTCCACTTGTCAGTGACTTCATGGATTTGTGTCATGTATTGGTTCGGTCGCCCTTAGCTTCTTACAACCTACACATACATCATAAAACATCGCACGTCGGGGCTATCGGTGGTTAGACATAAGTAAAACGTGTCCTAGCCATCTCAACTGATGAGGTTTCACTGCTTCATCAATTGATCAATCATCATTACATAGTATCCGTTTCCTAAAAACTGCATTACTTACTCGGTGATCGCAGGATATACGAGCAATGTTTCGAAAACACCTATGATTGAATACTAGTAAATAACGAATACCCTCTACTCTTACCAGCCATGTTTCACTCCCATAAAGTAGGATGGAACGAACTGATGCGCAGTAAACCCGTCCTTTATTTGGTAGACGGATATCTCATCTACTCCATAAATGACGCAAGTTGGCAAAAGCTAGTCGTGCTGAGATTTCGTCACACACCAGACCACAAGGGCTGATGAGACTCCCAAGATAAGTGGAGCGGTCGACACCCTCAACTACTTCACTAGTTCGAGTGTCGATGCAACCCAATTCTCAAGCAACATTTTGCATTTCAAGGGGGAGAATCGCATCCTGAACATGCTTGCATTGTTGATTGGAGTGGTTGGAAGACTGCATTTTGTCAGCGTCTTCATCTAATAGGACGTCAAAGACAAAGTTAAACAGGAATCGAGAAAGTGGACAGCTCTAACGAACACCACTTGAGGTAATCAATTCTGATGACAGTTCACCATAAGCTCTCACTCTACCAGTTGTGTTCGAGTAGAGAGCCTGAATAAGGTTAATGTACTTCTTTGGTACTCCTTTCAGTGACAAACACTGACATTGAACCTCTCGATCAACAGAGTGGAATGCTGCCTTAAGGTCGAGAAATACTACCATTGTGAGGCATCTGAATGTGTGTCTGTGTTCTAGAACTTAACGTAGTGTGAATATGTGGTCTATACAACCACGTCCAGGTCGAAAACCGCCCTGATTTTCCCTAATCTGATCTTCACGAGCTTTGGTTAGGCGTCGAAGTATTATTGAGACTAATATTTATGACACTATATTAGTCAAACTGATTCCTCTGTGATTGTCACAAGAGGACTTTTGTCCTTTCTTATAAACTGGCACAATCAGTGATTGAGACCAGTCAGATGGGATTACGTCCAGTTCCCAAATTCTACCTAAGACCTCAGTTAATCTCATTGCTAATACTGAACCATCATCCTTAAAAATCTCAGGAGTAAACCTGTCAGGGCCTGCTGCTCTCTCTCGCTTCAAATTTCCTATGGATTTTTCAACTTCGTAAAGAGTCGGAGGACTTACATTAACTTGCCATTCAGGTTGACTGGAGATCGTGGGAAACCGAAGTGTGGCTGAAGGCCAGTTGAACTGATCCCTAAAGTATTCTGCTCATCGATCCAATCTCCTAGATTGAAAATGTATAATATGTCCATCTTTCTCTGAGAGTGTTTCGCTAACAGTTGGTTTCCTTAACAAGTCTGAACAATTGTCTGCTATTACCTATTGCCGCTGCCTTTCCCATCTCTCTTGCTTTCGCTACCCACAACTGTTCACGATCATTGCGTAGATTTCTTGTCAGCTTGCGCTTAAGCTGACTCCGCTCTTCGTTATGTTCAGAGCCAGATGGAATGCATTTTAGAGCATGTCAGTGCGGTAGAGGCTGCTGAGATCCAATGTTTCTCCCTAACCTTACAGTTTACCTTACTAAAAGATATCACTGCCGTTTCCACAGCTTTTCGGATATCATTCCATGCTGCCTCAGAGTGGACATCACATACATGGCTGCCTGACTGTTTTTCTAGTTGTTCCTGAAAAATATTCTTAGTCTGACTATCATTAAGTAGGGCCCCTAATACATATTTGGTTGTAAGCAGCTGAAGAGGAACCATGAAATATAATGAATTCATATCATTCTGCATCAATGTTTGTCCTGGCTTTATTTAAATTCATAAAGGTAACTAACTGTATGAAATTTTCGGAAAGCCGTCTCCCTGCTCATAGATTTCGCGACCAACTAACATAGAACTAATCCATGTCGGGTAGAGACAGGTATCTACTTCAGTAAAATGGAAGTTGGTCGCGCAATTTCGTGGGTTGGTTGATGTTAGAAACTATCACCATTGGGTGCCGACTCAGTCGTCCAGTAGACCGAAGTCCCTGGGTTCGGGTCCCGCGAGCGGTATCGTGGATGCTGAGGAGTTCCACAATAGGACGAAACGGCCGTCCAGTGCTTCCAGGTTTCCAAAGGTGGTCTAACATCAATCGGTTCATGATCAATAAATAAAAAAAAATAATCTCCACAGCCCCTATACTAGTAACATCAACTTGTTAACTCTCAGAAATAAGGAAACCTTTGAAACATCTACATCATCCTTCATTTAGAAGTATTTGATAATTGACATATGAAATTAAACCCACAATCTTCTAAATTAAATTTCTATCATTCAATTTTTCAGACTAATTACTACAATATCTTGATTGGGATACCATCAACTCTCTAATCTCATATGATTACAAAGTGGATTATCTTATGATAAATTAATTTTCTATTCCAATTTGTTACTTAGTAGTACATTATATAATCGATTTGTTATTAAACTGGTTCTATTTTAAGTTTGAATGTTACTCCAGTTATTATCTTGTTTTATTAACATTGAATTTGAACTACTTCATCGATATCGAACATACATACATACACACATAGACACACACACACACAAATTAGGTGTGGCTTTACCACTTAGTACTTTGAGTTATAATTAGTTACCAAGGCATTTTTTAATTACGTTTCCCTTTTTCTTTTCACTGTGTAGAAAATATTAAAGATACTTCATAATCTATTGTCGTTTATTTAATCGTTTAATAATAGCAATCAACTGGCGGCCTGGTCGAATATCTGGGCTACTTGTTTCTGGCATTTAGATATTTCAACAAGTTATCTGTTTTTGTTTATTTCAATACATCATTTTATGTTTATTAATTGCATAACCTATTCAAGCGTGTTTATGAAAACGTTTACGACTATTCTCTGTACAAGTTACAGAAGAGTCCAATCAGGGACATAGTGGTTTCTGGCAATATGCATCAAAAATAATGAACATTAATCAAATATCGATTCCGGAAATGTTAACATCTAACTGGCAACCATTCCATATTTCTCATCAGGATCAACCAAGAAATAAGAAGCGTAAACTTGTAGGAATACTATATTGTACAAAAAAATAGAATATAGAATAAAGCCAATAATATAAACTTAACCCCATTAATTGCTTATTAATGTGTATATGTAAAAGAGAGATAGAAAGACAGAACACTTCATATCGTCTGATGAATGTACCATGTATATTGATTTATACGACAACTTGAAATGATGTAGATATATTCTGTGTTCTACATTGTATATAACCCACTGATTCTATAAACTTCTAAACTATACTATAATTGTGTACTATATTTAGTTGTTAGATTTAAGAGTGATTTCCTAAATTCGAGATGTAACTTATGGCTTACGAAGCTTCACCATTAATAAATAATATTATTCTGAAAGTAACAATGACATAATTCATGCCAGTTAACAGGGATGATCAGCTTGATATAGATAGGAATATTAAATGTAGAGGACAGATATTAGATGATATTAGATTATTTTGAAGTGTACTTGTTCAAAAAAATTGTTTAGATATTACATTACAGCAATAAAAGGTATCAGCCTGGAACTCTTAATTCTTTTTAAGGGGATGTCCTGTTGATCTATGAATAGTGAATTTGTAGTTATTTCCTGCGCCATAACGAATTGATTATAATCATATACAACTAAAGAAAAGAAAATGTAAACAGAGAGCACAGAACAACAAAAGTGTTAGGATGTGCAGAAAAATATACCAATAGTTATCATGTTAAGTCTAATGTTGTCCTTGGCCTTTAAACGGACATTCCCTATTGGTCGATATTTGCTTCACTTGTTTAATATTGTGTAAATGTTGTTTTCTATTTTTATGGTACGATGTGGTATGTTTGGTTAGTATATAAACAGAGTGTGTTTGAAATATAATGATTCATATCTCAGAGGCTGTGACTTTCGTTCTGGACTCAACTGGCTGAGGTAGACAGGGGAGCAGGGTCAATCAGGACACTAGGTCGTTCGTTACGTGTTTACGTGTCACTGTAACCGATCAATAAAACGCTGCTCCATCTAACCTGCAGTCACTCACCCGTTACAACAAAAAGACAATAATTACTATGATAGATCAGTCAGTTCTATTATATTTTATGTGACAGATTATTTTATGATCAACTGTTCATGTTAGATATTATTCAAATTAGTTAAAGTTACCAGGATTAACATTGGTGTAAAATAACAGCAGATAATCGAGGTTTACTTAATGAACTCAGTAATCAATCAGTCAGCTACAACGTAGAACCAGATACAGATGGGCATTGGTTCAAATTGCCATATCGCATTAACACAACAAGATGAACATCGAATACATAGAAGTAGTTAATAGTGGTAATATATAAAAGAAAGATTACATATAAGGATATAGTACAGGAGGAAAGAATTAGTACGTAGAAAGATATGAAGCTATTTTAGTCTCATAGACGGGAAGTGTATACACCTACACCATTGTGATCGATTCTGAGGTATGTCACCAAGAATCTCCAACCATTGTTTACGATAGTCACGCAGTAATAAAAATGACTAAACATTCAAAGTCCCTATAATTTCACTTAGGGAATATGATATACCATTTTCAGAGAAACAATAATTACCTATGTAAAGAAAAAAAGGATGGGAATGATTTTATCCCATAGATAGATTATGGAAGATCATTCCAGTGTCTGGAAATGTTACTGGTAATATTGAAAATAAAACAACTATCATATCCAGGGTTAAAAACCGGTTATTAATTGAGGTTTAAGATATCAATTTAATAATTTAAAGCTCAAGCAATCTTTTTATTTAGAAGCCTTAGATCCTACCCTTTGTGTTATTATTTTACATATGTACTTGTATTCCTTCTGGAATTCATTCAAAATGAATTAGTAAAGTTTGTGTATTCGATGCTTAACTACGTTTGAACCCTATTCTATCTAACTACTGTATTGTCATTGGTCATTATCTTCAAAAGTACAATTCATAATCAAGCACAGATATACTTTTAATTACTAATCCAATTAAAGAAGACAATACTGATCGAATCTTTGAAATGGCGTTCTTATCGATTATTTTAATGGAATAAGATCGATGAATTTTGTTTTAGCATTCAATTATCCACTTCCGGTAAATCCATTACAAATAAACAACTCAGTAGATAAACACATTTGAGTTGTTTAATCTTAACTTCATATTGAAATTTATTTTATATTTCATACTTCTCCTATCAGAACTTTTATAGAATACTGATATCAACTAAAATTGACTGATGTATTCTTCTTTGCCTCTTTAATACTTTTGAAATAAAGTCGGGTGTGACCCTGCCCGTGTGTCCAAATCGAACCAGGTGGTTCTCTTAGGAGGCCACACTCGGAGCCTTCAACCTAAAGGTCCGACCCACAAAGCAGTGGAGCAACGTCAGGAGATGCAGTCTCATGGTATCCAGTGACTAACAAGTGGTTAATGCGCTATTTGTCCCCTCAGGATCCTGGAGTTCATGTGCACCATTGGTTTGGAATCAGGGTTTCACATCTCCCGTAGGTGGGTCCTCCGTATCCACCAACCCGGGTAATGAGTCGAATATTCGCTTTCCGTCCCTTCAATTTCGTAGGCAACACGCCTATTGTACAGGGATAAGGGAAATCGACAGTAAACTTTGTTTATGGATAAATAGAGGATATCTTGTAATCGTCATACTGACGTTAGAACTCGTAGTATTTACTAAGCAACTTAGGTAAGGTAAGGTAAGGAGAGAGAAAATTAAGTCACTTCCACCATTACAGCACCTCAGTTAATTAGCTCAGAGACCATTTAGCGATTATAATAATAACTAAGTTAGTGGTCAGTAATAACAAAAAGCCTGACATAAGTGAGCGTCAGATCAAGGTGCCACATCATATCAGAACAGTGAGATCAACTAAGAGAGTAAATTTGGTAGATACTCAAAGCGCGGTAATATAGCACAAATTAACATCCAGGGACCAATTATTATGAATACCGCCTTTTTCGCTTTTCGTCCTCTCGATTTCGTAAGCAACACCCCCGTTGAAAGAAGACAGTGAGTAGGACTTCTCTGGAAGTAATTATATACGCGTAGCATTTGGAGAGGGGGAGCTGACTCTCCCCACCCCCGGCCATGCCAGGGGATTTTTGGTATTTGATTATTCCTGTAAGTGATATGTAAATGTGTATGTTGTTTATTATACGAGTTTTGTATACGATCAAGCAAACTTGTAAGATACCTGATGAAATATATTAAGAATTCAGAATAGAACTAATATTGTACGTCAATAACCAGTAGAATTATTGAAAAGAATTCAAATGAAGATTGATTTGATCAGTGAATTGTACATTAAATTAGGACTTTTCTGAGGCTGGAACAAAACAACTGTTATCAGTGTGTATCGGAATAAGTTTTTATAATTTGGAAATCACCACAAACATACCAGTATTTTAATATTTACCAATAAAATTGTGTATATTGCAGATTAATCTCAGTTTGAATATGACTAAAAAACTGAACAGCTATTTTGACCTAGTACTGGCAACAGCTGAATCTTTAGATCATTGAGATGGCTCCCGATGGTTTACAATTTGTAACTCCACTTAATCCGTAATATCACACAACCATTTGAAGGTACCACTGACGAATGATTATGTAATAGTTGAACTTCATCGGCCTTGACTTTATAATAGAACTTCATGAATTGTCTCTCGAAATTATTCTCCAAAGAGTATATGATTATTATTCTTACTATTAATTAAATCTCTTTATTATAATCAACTAGTTAGATTTGATCAATATCCTACTGATTAATGTTTGGTCACTGATCCATGTCTGAACTACGGAATCGATTTTTTTTTACCTACAAGTAATCAAATCAAACCAAAATAATTAATGTTAACCATATGCTATAAAAATGAGTCCAATTATATGTCATGTGTATAGAAAGTTCAATCTTTTCAATACTTAAAATATACCATTATGTTGAATCCAAATAAGTGTTTCAATTAAGTTCTGAAAGTTTATGCCTAAATTGAAACGGTCATTTAGTGCTTCCAGGCTTTCAATAGTGGTCTAACACTGATCAATTTATGATTGTAATGAAATTTACCAATCTCTACAACGACTTACTGATAATCAACATGAGCTCACCAGTGACTGACTTTGTGAGGTAATTCTCAGAGTTTTGTTGAGAAGTCTTTACCAGAGGATCTAAACCGTCTCGAGTGTGAGGCAAATACCCACCGCAGACAATCGAATATGATAGCGTTATATTGTGGGTTAATTGTGGTTAGACATCGACAGTGTTGGATGCCAGTTCAGTGGTCTAGAGGTTTAAACTTCAATCGGTATCAGAGATCCTGAACTCGATTCCTGCATGCGTAGTCATGGGTGTCCATCTCTGAGGAGTCCCGTACTGGGACGAAACGGTCATCTATAACTTCCAGATTTTCAATGTTTGTCTAGCTTGGATCGCTTCATGGTTTAAATATATTGAGACATTTACTTGTCGAAGATTTATGGTCGATACTGCTTATCTGAAATTAACACAAATTGTTTTGGTTAAATAAATGAAAATTAAGTTGTATAATTTGATAGGACATACATTAAGGAATTCATGAAACTGCATCACGAGGCAAGCCCTAACTTGGAACCGTGAAATAAAACGACAAAGAGGAAGGCCTAAGGATACACTAATGGAAGTAGATATGAAAAGGATGAATAGCAACTGAAAACAACTGGAAACGATTGCCCAGGAAATACTGATTAGAATAACTGTTCTTTTTTTTACAATCATCTAGTGGGCTATACATATTTGTTTTCTACTCCTAACAGACTGATCGAGCTTTCGATCTAGTGCGCCAATGGTGCAATTTCATGCATTGGTTCAAGTCACATATTAACATCGTTCGATGCCGGCTCAGTGGTTTAAAAGTTATTTTATCTATAATCTACTTAGTTCAGTAATTTCAATTGAATTTTCAACTCAAATAACTTGTATCAATTTACTGTTCAATTTTGATAATTATTTTCATTGCTAATTTATTAACTATTGAAGAGTTCGCGCGCAAGACTGAGGGCGCTGGGTCCGAATCCCACTGGCGAGTCGTGGATGCGCATTGATGAGGAGTCCCACAATGAGACGAAACAGCCGTCCAGTACTTCCAGGTTTTCAATGGTGGTCTAATATCAATCGGTTCATGATCTCAGTCAAATAAATATTAATTTAAAATCTATCATCAGTGAATGCATCCATATGTTGAAATTTATGACGATGCAAAAATTGTCATACCAAAAAATCATACCAATAAAAGTTATGTAAATCAAATCGATGACCGAAACCCTACACAACCAAATAATTTTGAAAATAATCTATTTTCAAATATGATATTTCAGTATTTTAATATTCAGGTTCGGAGTCAATTAAAGCTGGGCCACTATAAGAAACCTGGAAACACTGAATGGCCGTTTCGTCCTTGTATGGGACTCCCAAGTAGTGCACATCCACGATCCCACCCGCGAGTTTCGAATCCATGGCTTTCTGTCTAGCGTGTCAATGGTGCGATTTCACGGATTGGTTGAAGTTATATATTAACACCGTTAGACGCCGGCTCAGTGTTTTAGAAGTTATTTCATCTATTTATTTATTTATTCACATAAACATAAGTCCAAGGAGACACCAAATACATATGCGCTACACAAATCATTCGATTTGTATGAGAGACAGGATACTGCTTGAGTGCCCAAACCGAACCAGGTGGTTTTCTTAGGGGGCCACACCCCGAGTCGTTGGCCTAAAGGTCTGATCCACAAAGCAATGCAGCAACGTCAGGAGATGCAGTCACATGGTAGCCGGTGACCGACAATCGTTTCATACGCCATTTGTTCCCTCAGGATCCTGGAGCTCATGTACACCATTGGTTTGGAATCAGAGTTTTTCAACTCAATATCCACCAACTCGGTTAAAGTGTCGTGTAGTAGCTGTGCTTCGTTAATTAATCACCCTTGAACCGTTATCGTACAATCTCTTCAACGGTGTTTGAAATCAGAAGGTAAAAAGAAGCATCTCCTACAGTTTATTTAGCAGATAATTCGGACCACACAGCAAGGAGGCAAAAATGAATGAGTAAGCGAACTACGATTGTAGCAGTAGCAGTAGTAGGAGTGGTAGGAGTAGGAGTAGTGTAAATATACATATAGGAAAATGGATGAGTCATCGAATAGATTAAGCAGTTAATAATCAAGCTAGCAGAATGAATAGATGCGTAGGCGTTAAACATTGTTCAAGCTTACGTATTTCATATAAGCACAGTATTAATAACAGTATAGCAAGTTGTTATAGCATGAATAACTTTGTCCATTAAATAGGTCAACAAAAGACCTTGACTGAGTTAAACTCAATTGCACGTGAGTCACTATAGTCGGATATTCGCTTTTCGCCCTCTCAATTTTGTAAACAACAGTGATGCCACAAGAAGGCGGTGAGTAGGGATTCCTTGGTAGTGGTTATATGCACTTAACCATGTGAGAGCATTTAGAGAGCGAGAGCGGACTCTCCCCACTCTCGGCCATACCAAGTCATTTGGGGTCTAGAGGTTAGGCATTCACACACTTGACTAAAGTTTCTGGGTTCGATTCTTGACTGCGGGATCGTGAATGATCACCGCTGAGGAAGAAACGACCATCCAATGCTTCCAGATTTTCCATTGATAGTCTACCTTCAATTGACTCATGAATTCAACTATTTAACTTCCTATCATATCCATAAAAACCCTTTAGTTATTTGTAAATGATTCAGAAAAAAATAATCATTACTAAGTTATTACCTTGTATCTATGTATAATGATTCTATTATCGATAATACACATGCAACTTATTGATATTTAGGTCATAAGATGATTGGAATCTCATGGAAACTGTTTACTTTTTATCTGAATTATATAAAAATACTTTCAAGGTTATTTATATATAAACAGAAATACAAATACATCATAGAATCATACGATTTTCTATGTAAACAAAATTATTAAAAGATTTTTCTTTTCTCTTCATTGATTACACATGTACATGTTTAATCTATTCACCTATTATGAATAAATTATGATGAATTGTTTCTTCTTCTTCTTCTTTTTCTTCTTCTTTTTCTTTTTCTTCTTCTTCTTTTTCTTTTTCTTCTTCTTTTTCTTCTTCTTCTTCTTTTTCTTCTTCTTCTTCTTCTCCTTCTTCTTCTTCTTCTTTTTCTTTTTCTTCTTTTTCTTCTTTTTCTTCTTCTTCTTCTTTTTCTTCTTCTTTTTCTTCTTCTTCCTCTTCTTCTTTTTCTTCTTCTTCTTCTTTTTCTTTTTCTTCTTCTTTTTCTTCTTCTTCTTCTTCTCCTTCTTCTTCTTCTTTTTCTTCTTTTTCTTCTTCCTCTTCTTTTTCTTCTTTTTCTTCTTCCTCTTCTTTTTCTTCTTCTTCTTCTTTTTCTTTTTCTTTTTCTTCTTTTTCTTCTTTTTCTTCTTCTTCTTTTTCTTTTTCTTCTTCTTTTTCTTCTTCTTCCTCTTCTTCTTTTTCTTCTTCTTCTTCTTTTTCTTTTTCTTCTTCTTTTTCTTCTTCTTCTTCTTTTTCTTCTTTTTCTTCTTCTTCTCCTTCTCCTTCTTCTTCTTCTTTTTCTTTTTCTTCTTCTTTTTCTTCTTCTTCTTCTTTTTCTTCTTTTTCTTCTTCTTCTTCTTCTCCTTCTTCTTCTTCTTTTTCTTCTTCTTCTTTTTCTTCGTTAATTTCCATAGTCAGAATAGAAAATTGAGTTGGTGATTATGTTTGGAATGACAACAAAAACTTTATAATAAAAATCATTCAGCTCAAAGAATCTTTAACAAGAATTTATGATTCTTATCATTTACTTTACTTTTTCTGGTTAGCGCTTTTTTTAGCGAGTTAGGTTTCTACGGGATGGGGTCGCTAGCCCAATGTCCAACCCCCCTCCTTTATCCGGGCTTGGGACCGCAGGGACTCCAGGCGGAGTTTTTATCATTTACCTTATATAAATGATGCATTTAATCGTGTTCATATACAGCCGCATATGCAGCCGCTCGTAGAACTGATCTTTAATGTCGTCGTTGCTATCATTTGCGGGTGCATAACATTGGATAATATTCATTAAGATTCCCTCCTTCTTTGTTTTGAATGATGCTTTGATGATTCTGGATCCGTGAGATTCCCATCCTACAAGTGCATTTCGTGCTACTTTGAACAGCATAAGAGTGTGTGGAGCATTGTCCTCTTCGTGACCGGAGTATAGCAGCATCTTTCTCGTAGCTAGCCTTTTCTGTCCAGCTTGAGTCCAGTGGGTTTCGCTGATTCCCAGTACGGCTAAGTTGTATCTCCTCATTTCCATTGCTATTTGACTGGTCTTCCCGGTTTCCTACATTGTTCGGACGTTCCATGTACCTATAAAATTTTTTGCTCTGGTTGTTAGAAGGGGCATCGGCTTCGTGGCTTCCGAAGGAACTCGGCTTTCACCATGAAGCATAATTCTTCTAAATGAAGACCTTCTAACTCTAGGACAGAGTTTAAATGGTTTGGATTATTTTTTTCTGGTAAGCGTTTCTTTAGCGAGTTAGTTTTCTACGGGATGGGGACGCTAACCCCATGCCCAACCCTCCTCCTTTACCCGGGCTTGGGACCGGCAGTAACCCTATAAGAGCTACAGGCGGAATTACAAGTAATGTTACATAGAATAATAATAATGTATTTTGATTAATACAATTAGCGAACCAACTTTACATGTAACTTTGAAATGACAATGTACTAGGAAAATAGTTTGTTATAAATATCTTTAGTTTCTTACTTACTCCTGTTAACACTTGTGGAGGAGCATAGTCTGCCAACCCATATTTGCCACCGAATTCTGTCCTAGACAATACTTTCCATTTTCTGTTTTTCCTATTCATGTCTGCTTCCAGTTCATGATTCAATGTGCTTCAGTTTTCCTTTAATTTTCAGCAATCTAAGTTAGAATCAGATTCATGATACAATTTAATGATTTTATCAATGTGTGATCTATCCAGTTCCAACATCTTTTCCTAATTTCCTCTTCAGTTGGAAGCTGGTATGTTCTCTTCAATATTAGACTGTTGTTGATAGTATCCGGTAAAAGGACATTGAGTACTTTGTGTAGACAATCGTCCACAAATACTTGTACATTTTTGCATCTTGCATTTTCATACAAATTGCATCCTGTTTCGATTCGTTGCTGTTCGATCCTCTTGTCTCTCTGCTGCCAGACCTTCTGTTCACGAGTAACATCATCTACTACTTATGTCGATATAAGTAGCACACACCACAGTAGAACTGTGTTGATGTTCGTATTGAAGATCCTCACTCTGATAGTGGTTCACAAACTCGCAAGCTGTCCACTACATTATATGCTTCCCTTGATATCTGGGGATGCTGAGAATTCTATATTGTACCAAAACTATAATACTGAATAGTGTTTAATAATAATAATAATAATAATAATAATAATAATAATAATAATAATAGAACAAAGAGAAAAGGGGGAGGAGACAGCCTTATCTGACTCTGGTCCTCACTTCAAATGTGTCTATCAACTGTCCTCCATGAATCACTTTGCACTGTACTCCGTCGTATCGATTCCGTATGATGTTGACGATTTTCTCAGCTACTCACACCAAAATGTCAAAGAAGTTCCCATAATGTTCTCCTATCTATACGGTCAGATGCTTTCTCATAATCAATGAAGTTGATGTATAGTGACGAGTTCCATTCAATTGATTGTTCAACGATGATCTGTAGTGATGTGATTTAGTTTGTGCACGACCGATGCTTACGGAATCCAGCTTGTTGATCTCAACATTGGACGTCTACTGAGTCTTTCATCCGATTCCGCAACACTCATTCGAAAACTGTACCTGGTACTGACAGTAGTGTCATGTCTTTGTGGTTCTTACATTTGTTCAGATATTTTTTCTTTGGTATTTCCATGAGGCATCCTTCTCTGTAGTCTGTCTGTGTCACTTCAAACGCTAAAACTCCATCAACTAAACGGATAGCAGTTAATCAAATAATACAAATGAAACCCACGATGATAATCAATTAGAAACAAGACCATCAAAATGAATTGATTCATCTCTTAGGAAATAACTGAATGTCTCACTTTGACGTAAATTAGATACTCATGATATTGTTCAGAATGGAAATGAAAACTGTACATATAAATGATCTAGCACAGAAAACCCGATAGCAACAAAATTATCATCTCGCTCTCTCTCTTTCTCTGTATCTGGGGATGCATAACAACTGCCAATTTTCAATGAACTAACATGTGTTAAAATCATGAGTTCAGTTTCCTGCTTAGTCAATAATAATGTTTCCTTAACCAAAAATCTTTTCATGTCAATCATAAATTGTGTTTCATTAAATTTTTTTCTTTGGAATTAGTATATTTAGCTCAGTTGTAATATGCCTATCAAATTACCACGTAAACACTGGTGTTAAATTTCGCGCTATCATAAAATAGCGCAAATTTAAATAAATAAACTCAACTGTCATAGAATAAGTTTATAAAAGTCGATAAGTATTACAAATTCAACATTGGGCAAATGAATTCAGTTCACATGCCTGCATCCCAGTATTGATGTCCACTCCGGGATTCGAACCCAGTACCGTTCACTTTAAATACCATAGCATCCCAGAGTGAACATCAAATCTCAGATGCAGGTATATCCATGTGACGAGCTCCAAATAGGAGGAAACATGTGTCAAACTAGATTTCATCAATAGCTACTATCCATCTTTGCATATAATGCTTATGAATGAAGACATTATCGAAGCAATCCACACAGCATACGCACAGGCCAGTAAGAGAATGATCAATTTCAGACCTAAACACTAGTGAGAAGATTCAATAAAAACAATACGAAGTGAATTCAATTCATGTACTTATGAAAAGACGACGTACATTAGCTTAAACTGTATTGATCCGTATTCATGGTAACAGTTTAAATAAGTTCGACATTTACATGTAACTTCATGCCATTGGACACAAATTAGTCCATTTTGTTTTTAGTATTCATTTCATAATTGAATTTACGAGTTGATTGATGCTAGACCACCATGGAAAATTTGGAAGCACTGAAAGGCCGTTTAATTCTAGTATGGGACTCCTCAGCAGTACTCATCCACGATCCTATCCCACGGGATTCGAACCCACGATCTATTAGTCCCCCTTATCCCCTAGACCACTGAGTTGGCACCCAACAATGTGAATGCCTATCTTTAACTGATCCAATTCGAATGATTACATCTGAATCAAGAAATGTATCAAGTATTCAGTATTTTATGTGAAAACCAATGTTATATACGACACGTGAACTAATCCGTTTTTATTTCAATTCACATTGGTCACCATAAAAACTCGAAGATAAATCATTTTATTTAATAATGTATGAATGTTAGGTTAGTGAAGATGTATAACTCAGGTGGATGATTTTGATAGTTTTTGTTCTCTCAGTTGGATGATTTGGTCATGGAGCTTTCATCTTTCCGATGAATGACATAACTAAACCATCTAGTTTAAAGAACAAAACTCTATCATAATAAATGTTAGAATTGATTATTACACAAAGAAGTTTTGTAAATCGATATGTGATGATAAGAATGGATCTTCTATCATTTCATTTCTGTAACTATTCAAAGAAGTTTGTGATAGCTAATCAGTTATCAAGCCCATATAGACTATTCTAATTTCTAGACTAACCAGATTTATTCATTTTTCTAAAGGTACATTTTCAACTTGTTGATTATTCGCTTGTTAATTGTGATCGTTTTATATATAATCGTATGTGAGTTGATTGTTCACCATATTCATCAATTGTCTGTAACTTATTTTCATCTGAATTGAAAAATATTGAGACTAGAGTCTTTATCAGTCCTTCTTCCGGCTTGTTAAGTCCAGAACACCAATCTCAGCCTCTGCAAAATGAATCATGTATTTCAAATATACTGGGTTTATATACATCAGCCAAACAGACCACATCGTACTATAAGATAGAAAATAACATTTGTACCAAGATCTAGCCAAAAGTGACTGTGAATGTGGAAGACTATAGTTAATCGACTGGACATAACTCAAGAACGGTAAATCATATAATAATAGTCTATGGATCAAAATAAAGCTTATGATAATTGGAACATGAATATGTTTAGTTTAGCTACTTAACAAATATACAATAAGAATATATGTATCGTATTGATACAGAAATAGATTCCAACAGTTACCATTCATAATTCTAGTCAGAGTCTAACATTATCTACAGTGTGAGCACTTGTCTGTCAAAGAGGAGTTTTATTCAGTAGCTGCCTCGTCAGTCCGACATTATGATTGCAAGACATTGTATTGGAACTATGAGATTCCTCTTAATTGATCATGATTTAATGAATATGCAAATATCATTATTCCAGTATTTAATAAATATAGAACGAAAATAGTGAGTCTGTAGTTTATGGTCAACCTTTCCGAGATTCTAAAGTAATTACAAGGAAATTCACTTATTTATTATGATCCATAGAAGTCGATAAATTAGTGTGAGGATTTGGATTCACAGTTAAAATTTAGGGTTAAGATTTCAATTTAGTGATGTTGGCGAAGATTTGTAGCTCAGGTGAATGATTTCAATAGAGTTTTGTTCTCTGAGCTGGATGGTTTGGTCGTTTAGGTGTACCATTTTTCTTCCACTTTGTTCAGCTAACCACCATATCATTGA